TGGTCTTTCCATATACAATGTGTGTCGGAAACTAAATGGCCATTACCATAATTAATTTTTTTTTGCTCCGGAGGGTTACTTGTAAACGAAGATGCTATAAGGTTACAAAAACGGCATCAATATCACCTTATCAATTCGGTATCGATGATACCGATGCAGTCGCTCAACCGGAAACTCCATCGCAAGCACAACCCGGTCAGGACATTTCTCAGTGGTAAGTTTAAACTTTGTATGTGGTACTTTACGTGATATTGCATTCATTATTATTATTTACTTATTTGAGATCCAGGTGTGGGAACTGTGTTAGAATGCCCAGTGAGGCTGAAAACACAGGTCTTCTCGAAGTGTTTGTGGGCAGGTCAGAGTGTTCGTATTTTGTGGGCAGGCGGGGATTATGCAAATGTGTTACCTTGTTACGTATATAGGTTACCGGCAGAAGGTTCGAAAATATGACGACTCGTTAAGGCGGTTCAGAGTCGACTCTTCCTTTTGAGAGACAATATCTTTATTTATCATGCACTTTTTTGATTAACAACTTTGCAGATTGTTTTCATTTAAGGAGAGCTACGTTATAAACTGCAAAAGAGATATTTTTCAAAACCCCATATGACCTGCTCTTTAAGTCATATAGCTTGTCAGTCTCTTTGTCTGGAAGGAGGCAATTGAAGTTCTCAGACATCTATCGTTGAAAACTTTGAGGTTAATAGGCAGGATGCAATGAAATGCTTAGTTTTATTTATTAATTCATCTTAAAATCAAGCATAACGTTATTTTTAAAGAATATGATTTTTACTTCTCAAAATAAAATGTTTTGTGTGTGTGTGTGTGTGTGTGTGTGTGTGTGTATATTCTTTTCAAAACTGACAAATGTATTTTTTACCCTTTTTCCCCATTAGGTATCTTTTCTGATACTCACTTGCTTACAATGATGTACATTGGTGAGATGTGTTTCTGGGCAGTGAAATATGAGGACTGCAGCATGGACACCACAGAGCGCAAAGAGGACAGGCTTCATTTCCGAGATATTGGCACACAAATCCTCCATAAGTACGTGCTGGCATGCGAGGGGCCACTTCAGGGTCAGGGCTGGAACACAGAGAATGCCAAGGAGATCCTTAGTATTTTACAGTAAACCTAGAGAGAGCTTTTAGGAGAGGAGATTCACAAAAATGTCATTGTTCTGAAGCTAGCAAAAAAAAAAAGAAAAGTAAAACAAACACACAAAAAAGATTTAAAAAGAAAAATACTGAAAACAAAAAAGGCACTTATCTTCCGGTCCAGATTTGTTTTCTGGGTGTGTGTTTTCGCCGAGAATGTGGAATAATACTTCTAATGTAAAATATAAACAAATAACTATTTGTTTAAGGAAAAAAAATTCCAACTGAGAAACATCGCAACTTTTTATTTATTTTAATTTTTATTTATTTATTTTTAATTACATTACATTTATAAATGTCATTTATATATGTTAAAAACAAATGGTACAAAGGAGAGGGAAATGCAGGTATATGTTGCATATTTAAGTATTTGTGACCATTTTTAAGTATGGATATTTTCATTTTAATAACATCTTTGTATATGACACCTCTTCTGCTCACTTATTAAAAGTTGCATCTTTATTCCTTTCATTGACCAGATGTTTAGAGATGGGAATTTGGATATTTTGATAGTATACTTTTAAAAAGCTAAACTTTTTGGTCATGTTCTTTTTAAAATGAAGTTCATTTTTTGTTTTTTATGTCTTCATTTAAATAAATTTTGGGTTAAGAAATGTGAACGTGTGAGTGATATTTTGGTTTCACATATTTGAAAGGTTGTTACATATTCAAAAGGTTGGAGATACAGGATGCTGGTTCAAAAAGGTATTTTATATTCTTATTGCTAACCTTTTAATGTATAGTAAAAATGAGCATCCTTAATTAAAGATTCAAACTGAAACAATTAAAAACATGATTATGCATTATGTAGTATTCATTGGAATTATAAAAAAAAAATGAAATCAAACCATCTTACCACCTTACATTTCTAACATTTTATGGGGTCAATGGCAACGCTACATAATGTTAGTGGCCTTTAACATCATTTTGTTGATGTTAAATCAACTTATGCTTATCCAAAGTAAACTTTCACACAAAAGATGACAAATTGGGTGGTTGTGAATAACATAATACTATTGTTTTCTGCAAAAATTGTGACACTTAAGTACAATCTATAGGTAACTGGGGCACTAGAAGAACAATATTTACATACGTTAACTGCTTCACAGTTGTGTCCTTATGAAGGGCTAGGAGTGATACTTCACACAAATCATGGAATAATATTCAATTTGTGTTTTAAATGGTAGATAATACATTTACAAATTTAAAAATATAGTTTGTAGAATTAAGTTGATAACGTGTTCTTTCATTTTATTTTTACGTGTCACTCCTAGACCTCCATATGTCCTCCCAAAAGCTGAACATGATAGACCTTGCTTTATTCTATTGTAGTTTGGCAGTGTCGATTTCCAAAACTACAGTTCCCACAATGCAGTACCCTACTGTGCGTGACGATCCACACACGCCTATGAAAACACCAGAGACGTGTAACTTTGACAGTTCCGGGAAAATCCACTGGAATACTTCACAACTGAAATCGTGATTAACAGTTAACTGACATGTCATGTAATGAAATAAAAGCAAATCTATTAACGTTTTTGCTCTATTAAAAAAGTTACATATAGAAATCTTTCTAAGAAATAGTTGACAAATAGGTGTCAGTATGCTGAGCCGATCTATAGTCGTGCAAAGTCTCAGGAGTATTAGAGATAGGTTTTTTGATACAAGACGACAAAGAAATGAGAAAAGTGATGGTCAGGGGTCAAGTAATGAAGTCACGGGCCCCTCTCTGGATAACCTGACGGTAAGGCACGACTCTTCTTTATTTCATATTTATAAAATGTCATATTTATTTATTTACCTGACGTTTTATTAAAAGTACAGATTATGGCTATGTTGCGAGTGGAATACTAGCTGTACTAACAACTGCACAGTACACTGTATACTGTTTACTGAAAGGCGTTATATTAACAATATACATTAGGCTACTACATTTATATCATCTTGCTTATTTAATTTGAATGGGGTTCTCAATTTGTAGTTGTGTAATAATTTTGTATTTTACCTCTTTTTTTTTTTTTTGGTACTCTGATCAAATAATGAAACGAGAAACAGAAATGTGAAAAATCACAGCTGCTATTACTTCCAGTTCATTTATGACACAAATGCATTGAATTGTGGGATACAGTTTTGTAAACAGTAAGCCTTTTTGTTTACCACTCAATTTTACTGTGCACTGTATACATACTATATGCTGCAATAATTGTAAGAGCAGTATGGTAGTATGCTCTGCCAAACATAGCCTGCATACAAATACAATATACTACATATGTAGACTAAACTGCAGCTGTATAGGTACTAATACCAGATCATGTCTCTAAATAATTATTGTGCTATTTACATTACTGCTTAAAATATTGAGATCAGGAAGTTTTTTTTAAGAATGTAAAAATGTTACAACAAGGATGCACTACATTGATCAAAAGTGACAGCAATGTTATTTATGATGTTACAAAAATATCTATTTCAAATAAATGCTGTTCTTTTGAACTTGCTATTCATCAAAGAATCCTAAAAAAAAACACAAAACTATATGTGACCATGGACCACAAAACCAGTCATAAGAGTCAATTTTTTCATCATCATCTGAATCATTTTCATCATCATTTTCAAAGCTGAATAAATAAGCTTTCCATTGATGTATGGTTTGTTAGGATAGGACAATATTTGACCGAAATACAACTATTTGAAAATCATAATATTGAGAAAATCGCCTTTAAAGTTGTCCAAATGAAGTTCTTAGCAATGCATATTACCAATCAAAAATTAAGTTTTGATATATTTATGGTAGGACATTTACAAAATATCTTCATGGAACATGATCTTTACTTAATATCCTAATGATTTTTGGCATAAAAGAAAAATCGATCATTTTGACCCATACAATGTTTTTTTGGCTATTGCTACAAATATACCCCAGTGACTTAAGACTGGTTTTGTGGTCCAGGGTCACATATTAGAATGATTTCTGAAGCATCATGTGACACTGAAGACTGGAGTAATGGCTGCTGAAAATTCAGCTTTGCCATCACTGGAATAAATTACATTTTAAAATATACTAAAATAGTTATTTTAAACTGCAATAATATTTCACAATATTACTGTTTTTCTGTTGTTGTTTTTTTATCAAATAAATGCAGCCTTGAATGAGCCTATAAGCTCCTTTCAAAACATTAAAAATCTTACCAACCTCAAACTTTTGAACAGTAATCATTTTTAAAACAATTCTCCAAAACACAATTTTTTTGTCTTTCTTATCTAAACATACAGGTTGACATGCAGTTTCTCATTATGACCTTCCTGTCTCCGCAAGACCTCTGCAGACTGGGAGGCACCAGTACATACTGGCAGTCAATGGTTCGAGACCCTGTCCTGTGGAAGTACTTCCTGTTGCGTGATATGCCACTCTGGCAGTCAGTTGACCATTTATCAGTACCTCAGGTCAAGCTCACTGGCTCAGCTGTGCTGGATGACTCTGAGATGCAGCTGGATTATATGGCAGAGTAAGAGCTTAACGCTGCAGCACATGGCACTTCAGTATCAGAAATAATCAGCTCTAGGTGCACCCTGTTTATGTTGCATTGGTAGATTTCCTAAGACTATCCAGTCTAAAAATAATATAATAAGAATTGTATTTTATTATTATTTATATTATACTTTATTTTCTACAAAATAATAAAAGTGGTTTATTTCTTGTATCTATGAAAGTTGTTAGCCTGTATTTAAAACCCCTTAATATTTAACTATAATATTCTCTTTAACATGGCACCCACAGGTATCTACGTGTTTGTCCGGCCTGTCGAAACCAATGGCAACACCAACCCAGAGCCTTCGAATCTGTGACTTCCTTCTTCCAGTCTCTTGTACCGGTTTCAGAGCCACAGTTTGCCATGTTCGGCCCCGGGCTTGAGCAGTTAGAGATTTCCCTCATGAATACAATCATGCATTCCCCTCATGTACTGCCTGTAGCAGGACTACCTCAGCGTCAGATTGATGGTGCTGTGCCATTACTTATAGTTTATTCAAGTCAGTTATTAAACTGAATACATGGATGTTGTGCTGTGGTTGCTTTTTCTGTACTTGACCTTGATGGGATTTTTTGTTTTTTTTTCTTCAGGCATTGGATCTGGAATCAGTTTTAAGTACAAAGATCAGCACAGATTCAATATTGCAACTTTATATTCAACTAACAGGTGAGGAAGAGGATATTATATCGTAATTTACATGTACTACTGTTTAAATGTTTGGGGTTGGATTTTTTTGTAGATTCATGTTTTTGAAAGAAGTGTCTTATGGTCGTTTCTGCCAAGGGATTAAAAAATAAGTAGATAATTGTGACTTTTTGTCTCACAGTTATGAGAAAAAAGTGAGAATTGCAAGATATTAACTCAGAATTCTGACTTCACACAGTTCCAAGTTTAGATCTCACAATTCAGATTTTTACATTGCAATTCAGTTTTTTTTTTTTTTTAATAAAATTCAAATTGCAACTTTTTATCTGACAATTATGACTTTCTCTGGCAGTTCTGAGTTTATATCATGCAATTCTTAATTTATATCTCCCAATTGTGAGTTAATATCTCGCAATTTCATCTTTATATTTAAAACTGACTTTAAAATAAAGTCATGTTTGCATGATAGGACTAGGTGTTATGATCCCAATATGCAGCACCAGAGAGAAATACATTTTGTGAGAAAAAAGTCTGAATTGTGAGATAAAAAGTCACAATTACCTTTTTTTTTATCCTGTGATGGAAACAAGCTTCTATTGTCTCTTATGCTCAATAAAGCTGCATTTATTTGAAAATACAATAAAACAGTAATGTTGTGAACTATTATTATAGTTGAAAAGAACTATTGTCTCTTTCAGTATATTTTAAAATGTATTTCTGTGATGGAAAAGCTGAATTTTCAGCAGCCATTACTCCAGTCTTCAGTGTAACATGATCCTTCAGAAATCTTTTTATTATTCTGATCCTGTGCTCAATAAATGTTTCTTAT